AGAGAGAGAGAGAGAGAGAGAGAGAGCTATGGGGCGACAACTTGGGGAAAGTTAACAGTTAAGAGGGAGAGCAGTTGTGAAGGAATAAATAAGTTAATGTAATGAGGAAAACATCTGTATTGGGGATTATGTGGGGTAACCTTAGACTGACTGCTCTCCCACACGCTGTGGAAATGCAGGAAATCGCTCGCCAGAAACAGCCCAGCACGCTGTCTGAAGTTTTTCTTTCTCTCCTTTTTCATCCCCCACATATCTCTCTCTCTCTCTCTCTCTCTCTCTCTCTCTCTCTCTCTCTCTCTCTCTCTCTCTCTCTCTCTGTGTGTGTGTGTGTGTGTGTGTGTGTGTGTGTTTGTCTCTCTTTCTCTCTTTCTTTCTTTCTTTCTGTCTCTCTCACTCTTTCTCGCACGCACTTTTTTTCTAGTTTTCTTTTTCTCTCTCTTGTCTCTCTCCCCTCCTTCTGACCTTGTCTCTCTGCATCTCTCTCTGTCTCTCCCCCTTCTTTCTCCTCTCTCTCTCCCTCCCTCTCTCTCTCTCTCTCTCTCTCTCTCTCTCTCTCTTTCTGTCTATCTCTGTCGCCTCCTCTCTCTCTATCCTCCCCCCTCCCGACCGTCTGTTGTCGTGTGCCTGTTATGTTTTCTCTAACAGTGTGTTTACTGGGTCAACAAACTCGTGGACTTCGGTTGGCATAAAAAAGTCCGGCGAAAATGTGAACCGTTTAGGATATAATTTTTGAAGTCCCAAGTAGATAAGACGGGTACTCAAATATTTGCTCGCCAAACACCACGGATTAGAGCGGTTTTTTGTGCGGCATATGAAATGTCGCAGCTTTACAGCGTCAAGATAAGGTGACTCTATTTTTTCTTCAATTAAATTGAAAACGCCGGCGATAGTGGAGAGAAAGTGATGATGTTGATTAATATGGCTGGGTACACTCATTTCTCATGTTTGCGCCTAATAAGTATGCTGATAGTGAAGTGCTTAGGTTAGAGTGATTAATGAATATGCTGTTGAAAGTGCTTACATTATGTTGCTGATTTATTGGCATGTGCCCCTGTCGATGACATGCTTTCACTTACTTCATTTAAATCTTTCTTTATCTCGTCAAGTCATTGAAACCTACATTGTGCACCCTTCCCCTTTTTTCTCCACCCCCGTTCGCACTGTCCTTCATATCAGTCTGAACCTGTGGGTGGTTGGCGGGTGCTCTGGTGTGGTGTGCTCCTTCTTTCCTATCGAACATCTATCATCCTCATCTCCCCTTCTTCTTTTTATGTTTGTTACTCTCTTGTAACACCTCTAATCTTCTGGCGCTCATATGACCTTATGCAGTTGCGAACGCTGTAAAACCTCTACTAAAACTAACTAGTCTGAACCTTTAGAAGAAAATTGTTTATAGTACAGAATCTTTACTAATGGTACATCTTCTTGAGACGAGAAGCCACGAAAAGAACGTGTTACTTTTAAAAAATCGTAATTGCATTACCTTACCTCGAGACAAGGGTGCTCCAATAAGACAGTGTAATATCCATCCATCCATCCATCCATCCATTCATCCATCCAT